CGTTCCTGTAAATACTGAGCGATCTTATTATATATTTGTTTAAAAAATAACATGCAAAACGAACGTTGTGATGCATTTCAAATTATTATAGAAGGAATACAGGGAAGTCGAATGATTGAATCGTAAAAATACAACAAATAATGTAGCTACTTATAGGACTTCCGTTTCTGGTGTGCTGAGAGAAAATTGAAGAGTGGTGAGTGAGCAAAGCAAAGGGTGTAAAGTGGAAAGAGAGAGAGAGGTGTGAGAGAATGATAGTGAGCGGAGGTGAGAGAGGGAGTGAAGGGAAGGGCGTGAGAATATGGGGGAAATGGTGGAAAAGGGCTGTAGACGGGGAAAGGAGGAGAGAAGTAAAGGGTCCTCTACATACAAGTCGTAGATGGTCGTGGAGTCTTAAGTCGTAGGAAATCAACCAATCACAATCAAATATAAGGAGAATACTCGATTGGAATTGGTCAGTTTCCTACGACTTAAGACTCCACGACCGTCTACGACTTCTATGTAGAGCACCCGGATTGAGATTAGGAGATAGTTGCGATGTTGTGCACGTAGCGCGCGGGGCGGGAAGCGGAGCGCAGGAAGGGTGGGGGAAAGTAAGTTCGGAAGAGAATAAGAAAAATAACAGGTCGGTTCGGGATTGTGAATCTGTTCGTAAGAGATAGCGAGTGTGTTCGAAAGTGGAGACGAAGAAGAAGGTAGAAGAAGTGAGAGAAAAAGATAGAGAAGGTGAGAGAGAGAGAGAGAGAGAGAGAGAGAGAGAGAGAGAGATTGATTAATTGATCTTTATTACTGGCTTTCTCAGTTATTTTGCGATAGATGTTTAACTTACATTTCTAACATATGTTTTAACATTCTCTTAAACGTTTCAAGTCTTTCACACTCTTTTATATTTGCTGGTAAGGCGTTATACATTTTCACTCCTTCATAAAACATGCTTTTCTGCGCACTTCTTGTATTTTAAAATTTTACTACAATGTCCCCTGTCTGTCGTGTTTGTCTTCCGCAGGTATTACCTATTATTTCAAACTGATCTCTCAATTGCTTCGGTAACATACTTCTTAAAATTTTAAATGTAAATATACATACATTATACTGAAGCCTCTGTTTTATTGACATAAATTGTAACACTTGCAGCATATCATTTATTCTCAGCATAGAGAGAGAAAGTGTGAGGATAGATGACGGAAATAATTAAATGGCTGGAGAAGGATAGACGTGGAAGTACGGGGGAGTTGGCAAAGTTCCTTAAAAGGAAGAGATAAGGAGAGGGAGGGGAGGAGGAAGGGGAGAAGTTAGAGGAGATCTTTAGGAGTAGTAAAAAGACGCTTAGATCGCCGGTTAAAATGGAGGAGGAAGGGGGGATGAAGGAGATATTGAATGAGATGAGAGAGGAGATGAGGGAAGGGTTAATAGGAGTGAAAAAAGAAATAAGAAAGGTAGCGGAGGGGCAAAAGCAGATGATGAGAAAGGAAGTGGAGAGGATAAAAGAGGAGTTGAAGGAGAGGGAAGAAAGATGGAAGAAGGAAAAGGAGGAAATGATGGAGAGGATAAAGGCGTTGGAAAGGGAATTGGGTAAAGTGAAGGGACAGGAGAGTGGAAAGGAATTAGGGGGTAGGGGTAAGAAAGAGAGAGGGGGATGAAATAGGAAAGAGAGAAGGGAATGAAATATGGATGGAAAGGAAAGAACATTGGAGAAAAGAAGTGAATGGAGGGAGAGAGAGGAAAGAAAAGAAATATAATCGTAAAAGGATTATATGTAGGGGAAAGGGAAATAGAGATGAAGATTAAAGAGTTAATAGGGTGTGGGGGATGTGTGGGGGAGGATAATTAATCACACTCGTAAATAATCTCACATTCCACAGTTTAGATATTAACACGTTTATTAAAATGTAAGTGCAAGTGTAAATGTAAATGTCAGGATTTCTCCCCCGTCTTTGCTCGACAGCAATTCGGTAATGACTCTACCAAATCTCAATAGGAACTGAACTCGTATTCCGGTACCCGCGAAGGCCGCGCGACGGTAGCGTGGTGGGGTGAATGCCCCTTGCCCAATCAGGCCCAATCATGTGGTAACGATAACCAATCCGCGCGAATTAGGGAGTCCGCGTGTCCCTTGCTACTTCCCGGAATTTTCCTGTAGCGACAGGCTTACGCGTGAAACCTCTCGAACGTCCTTCTAAAGCGCCGACCGAAATACATACCAATAATGAAAATATGCCTACAGCTCGGCCATTCTGACATTTTTACCGTCCCGGTCAACCAAACGAAAAACAATCACATTTATAATCCACTTATAGCTAAAATACACATAAAAATTTCACAGTAATACATTAATAACGCAAAATTAATATAATGAATATAAGGTCGCATCTGATCTGATGCTACAATACCAGTATACGGTCGCTGAGTTAGCTGAAAGCCGTCAATGTCGGTAATAACGTACCGATCATAATCTAAAACCTTTCGAATAACATATGGTCCTTTGAATTTAGGCAACAATTTCTTATTTACGCCTGGTGTAGTCTGGACATTTCTGATTTCTACATAGCCTATCTTATATTCGCGCGCAGCTTTTCGTCGCACATTGTATCTTATCGTATTCTCGAGTTGTGATTTCTCTATACTTAAGTGAGCCTCATTTCGAATATGTTCAAGGTCACGATCTGTATCTACGCTAAGTAAATCTCGCAATGAGTCACTGGTTACGCCCTTTTGTTCGATTCCAAATAATAATCGGGAAGGAGTGTCATTAGTTGTTCGATAAATGGTATTATTTAACGAGTATTCGACTCGATCTAAAATTCGATCTCATTGCGAAGGGGTTTCGCTCAGCTTCGCCAACATCGGTGTTATGACTATTGAAACGTTCTACTTGACCGTTAGCTCTTGGTGTTCCTACGGCAACCAGAACATGTACAATACTCTCGTTTTTTACAAATGTTTTGAACGCATCAGAGGTAAAGCAGGTACCTCTATCGGAAACTAAACGCTTCGGTTTACTGTACGCACAAAAATAGTCACGCAAGTGTTTTACGGTCTTCTCAGTAGTTGTAGATTTACAAGGATAAATTCTAATAAATTTCGTAAAAGCGTCGATGACGATGAGATGTCGATATCCCTTTCCAGTTTTCTCTAATGGTCCGATATGATCAACATGCACCGTAGCAAAAGGTAACGGTTCTTTTGGAATCTCGTGCAAAAAGCCTTCCGCCTTACCACTCGGTGGTGAGAATTCAATACAACGTAAACAATTTTTAATGTGGTCCTTCACTTTTTCTCGCATATCAGGGAACCAATAAATTTTTGCAATATTCCCGACAATCTTATCAATACCGACATATCCAATGTCATCATGACACGTTCTAATCACATTTGACTCCATTGGTTGCGGCACATAAAATAGTAATTTTCTATTTTTGTCTTTCCTGTATACTAAACCATCGCTCAATTCATAATGTTTTACATCGCTTTTCTCAAGTTTATCGCGGATTTTAAGAATTTCTTTTTCTCGATCTTGACAAATAGATAAAGTCCGTTCGAATGTACTACCCTCGAGTACTAATACGCTATGACATCGGCTCAACGCGAGTCATTCGCTTTCCATGTCGATGTACGATATCATAATCATAATTTTGCAAAAACAATGCCCATCGAGATACTCGCGGATTTACATCTTTTTTATTTAACGCCAGTCGGAAACTGTCGCAATCAGTAATTATTTTAAATTTAGACCCTACGAGGTATACATGAAATCTTTTTAACGCGTACACGACAGCAAGACATTCTAACTCGAAGCTGTGGTACTTAGCCTCAGTGGGGGTAGTTCGTTAACTCCAAAATGAAATAGGTCTCCAAGTATTGTCATTCTGCTTTTGGAACAAAATACCGCCAAATCCGCTTGCGCTCGCATCGCAATGTAACTCGGTCTCAGCATGCGGTGAATAAATCGCCAATACTGGTTTTCTAGCCAAATGATTTCTTAATGCTTCAAATGCTTGATTCTCAATATCTCCGAATCGGAAAACAGTGCCCTTTTTTATTAAGTCGTACAACGGTTTAGCCGTCAACGAGAATTTAGGAACAAATCTACGAAAATAACTCGCAAGACCGACAAATCGATGTACTTCTTTTACATTTCGCGGAATCGGATAATTCAAAACAGATTCGATATTCTCATCGCTCGGTCGTATTCCGTATTCATTAACGCAATAACCTAAATATTTTATTTCTGTTTGGGCGAAGTAACATTTATCCAATCGAAATTGTAGATGACTTTTACCAGCCAATTCAAACAATTCAGACAAGATCTCAAAATGCTTTTCTAGGTTCTCGGTAGCCACTAAAATATCATCTAGATACAACAATATTTTGTGTTCTCTCACAAGACGTTCAAACACGGTATGAACAAAGCGTTAAAATACACGTGGCGCGTTTATTAAACCAAACGGCAAATATTCATACTGCCCTAACGGAGTTACAAATGACGTAAACTTTATTGATGCCTCTTGCATTTTCACATGATGGAATCCATCTTTTAAGTCTAAAATAGAAAAGTATTTTTTACCTTTCAACCGATCTATATTATCGTCAATTAACTCAGTTAGAAAATTATCGCGTATTGTTATTTTATTTAAATCTCGGTAATCAATACACAATCTAAGATCACCGGTTTTCTTTCTCACTAATACTATAGGACTTGCGTATGGTGAACTACTTGGATGAATAATTTTCTTTTTCGATAGCTCATCTAAAATTTTTTGCAACATTTCTTTATCCGCAAACGATAATCTACGCGGACGGGAACTTATTGGCTGATCGTGTTTCAACGCAATATTCATCTCGAAATCAGGTCCGCATTTCTCTGCATTAAAGTTTGGAATATAACGCGTTTCGAAAATCTCAGAAATCTTTTCGATCTTGTTCGCACCTATCGCGGGATTCACTTGTAATTTATCACGAACATTACTTTGTTCTTCGCTAGTCTTGACATGCATTATCTGTGTAACACTAGTTTCTTCGACATTCTTGATCTCGACATCGTCTCCGAATGTAATTCGCAATAATGGACACGCTAGAAAGTCTCGCCCTAAGAGTACTTTGTACACCATCGTATCGTCAGGCACGATATAGAACTTTATTTTTGTACTCACATCTCGTATTTCTACTTGACCATGAAAGACATTTAAAATTTTAAGTCGCGAAACGTTTATTCCGACAAACTGACTAATGTCATCTTCGACAGAAGAACATATTTCGTTCTCTATAACGCTACTACGAATAATACTGATTGGTGAACCCGAATCAATTATCGCGTCGATCACGTAAGTGTCTACTTTACCGCCCTTCTCATTGGAACTGATCTTCACGGTAACCATGTATGGTCCTGGAAGCGTAGCGGGTTGTATCACATTCGTCGAGGTGGTCGTCGTAGCCTGCACCAATTTTCCTTCTAACACTGAATGCTGCTTCCGCTCGGAACAGTCTTTCGCAAAATGGTCCGATGACCCACAAACGTAACAGGCTCTCTTCGTCGCTTGCGCTGCTGATTGCTTGCACTGAGTGACCACATGTCCGGTACCCAGACATTTATAGCACTTCACTGGTTTCCCCTTAGTAGATGACGCTTCGTTTTTCGCACTAGATGATTTTGAATCACTTGTCTTCTGCTTGAAATCGCTGGATTTCTTGGAATCTAGACGGATTTTCTCGAACGCCTTGAGTAGTTCCGCTCCCGACTGGAAATTCATGATACGCGCCTGGTTTTATAAACGTATGTCGCTTATGCCCTCGACAACATAGTCCAACAGCTCGTCCTCCGCAATCGGCACTCGATTGGCGAGAATCACTTTCTCGTGGTAGTAATCACAGAATGACTCTTCTGCTTTCCAAACGCGAGCTTCGAATTCTTTTCTGAGTGACAGCTTACTTGGACATGAATCAAACATTTGTGCCATCTCTTGTAGGAGATCTTCGATGCTCAACCTCACATATTCTGCCTTGGAATAAAACCAATTAAGCGCTCGTCCCTTCAATCTGGAACTTATTAAAATCCTGGTAGCGTTGTCGTCTAATTGATATGAATTTCTCAAAAATTCAAGCTGGTTCTTCCATTTCCAGAAGGTATTATCACTCGCATCGAATTCTGGTAGCAAATCTCGAAGATTTATGACTCCGCCAGCTACCGATGTGATGCTGGTCGTCGATGCGCAGCGGTTCATTTCGCGTTCTCTGCATAATAGCTGCTGCTCTCTTTGTAATAGCTCTCTCTCCTTGCGGATTAATGTCAGCTCACGTTGCATGTAGTCTTCCCGCTCTCCTCGTAGCTCAGACTGGTGATGTTCTTCCGGTATCGATGCATAATCCTCTGCATCGGTCTGCTCACCCGGTATCCCGTTCCGTTTCTCACTTAAAATTTTCCAAATATTTGGATCGTATTCGCTCAGGCGTTGGATTAATTCTGCCTTCGATTCTGTAGAGGACAATTCTCTCTCGCGAAGAGCCTCTTTTAATTCAACCACGGTAAAATTATTGCCCTTCGGTGGTTCCATGGTAACTCGGTGTCCACGCAGTATCAGACGATTCAAAACGACGATTGGTCACAACGTTCTCGCAGAACGGCAACGATAACGACGACAATCGGAAATCTTCGCAAGAATATTCCGTACGTGCCTCTCACAGAGTACACCTTATACGTCGTAACGTTCGCAACTAGCCGAATATCGCGTTTGTCCTCACTCACAGTGACGAAATTGTTTGTACTCGCGGCATTCACGAAAAAAAAAAATTCTTGTCTCTGAGTTCTATCTCTCGTACGCGCAAGACTCAATCACACTTCTGAATAAACTGTGGAGGATGTGTGGGGGAGGATGATTAATCACACGCGTAAATAATCTCACATTCCACAGTTTAGATATTAACACGTTTATTAAAATGTAAGTGTAAGTGTAAATGTAAATGTCAGGATTTCTCCCCCGTTTTTGCTCGACAGCAATTCGGTAATGACTCTACTAAATCTCAATAGGAACTGAACTCGTATTCCGGTACCCGCGAAGGCCGCGCAACGGTAGCGTGGTGGGGTGAATGTCCCTTGCCCAATCAGGCCCAATCATGTCATAACGATAACCAATCCGTGCGAATTAGGGAGTCCGCGTGTCCCTTGCTATTTCCCGGAATTTTCCTGTAGCGACAGGCTTGCGCGTGAAACCTCTCGAACGTCCTTCTAAAGCGCCGACCGAAGTACATACCAATAATGAAAATATGCCTACAGGGGGAAGTATAGAAGTAGGGGTGGGGACAGAGAAGGTAATAAAGATAGAAGCGGGTAGGCAAGAAAAGGGGTAGATGGTGGTGGTAACGTTGGGGAGTGTACAGGATAAAGGAAAGATAATAAAAAATAAATGGAAGCTGAAGGGAAGGGAGATATGGGTCGAGGAGGATTTGACTTGGAAAGAGAGGAAGATGAGGTGGATGATGAAGGAGGGGAGAAGAGCAAGAATGGGCAGGTGGGAGTGTGGATTGAAGGAGAATGGTGGAAATGGGACGAAAAGAGGGTGGAGTTAAGGGATGGAAGGGGAAGGAAATGTGGGGAGGGAGAAAAGAGTAAGGATGGAGAAAAGAGTAAAGAGGAAAAAAATGTAAGGAAGGGCAGACAGGAGCAGGGGTAATAGGGAGGGGGGCGATAAGGAAATTAAGGAGGTTAAGGATAGGAATACGAAGGGGGGGAGACAGGGTAAAGAGAAGGACAGGGGAAGAGAGACAGATGGAAGGGAGAGGAAAATAGGGAGAAGAGGACCAAGGGAAAAAGAGGAGAGAGGGATGAAAAGGGGGAAAAGAGTTGGGGAAGAGAAGGGGGTGAAGATAACCTTTTGGAATGTAGCAGGTACTAACGACTGACAACTGTACGCTTCCGTGCGTATATCTATGAGATTGAGTCAACCGTCCTTCCATACCCTCTCCATCTTCGTTCTTTCTCTCTCTCTTCAAATAATCAGGGTTGGACGTAACATTACAATATTGTGTTTTATTTTGGCTTGTAGCTGTTCTTAATCAATATACTAATTTGAAATTTTTTGAGCAATTTTTTATACTTATTTTTAAAAGTTATTAACACTTTTTTTTAACTTTTAACGTTTTAACTAGTAACTACCTAAGTTAGAGAGATGTCGTTAGTAGTACTATATATATATATATTCTTTTTTTTTTAATTTAAATTACGACCGGCGGTGTAACAATTCTAATTTTTGCGCGAAATTTGAAATTATATGATGTGGATTGGAAGAGTGGCGGATTATTTATTAGAGTGGGGGAGGTACGATCAGAATGGGATGAAGCCGAACGGCAAACCGTGAGACTGCTAGCGCCTGCGTATCGCATGCTACAGGATTTTTAAAGAATTTTTAATTGAATAGATTTATTAAAAATTAATATTAATCATTCCAATTCTTTAATATTGAAATTTGATATCTTATGAATCAATAATAGGTTGCTAAAGCACAATTAATTATTTAATTAATTGGAATGTAGAACGTTTATTTAACTCGATCCTTGGTACTTCTAAAATTGGGAAAAATAATTGATTCAGACATAAAGTTTATGCGTTTCGAGGGTTTCCTCCGGATCCATTCTGGAGATGCCAAAGTTTCATGAACCTTGCAGTCCACTTCATCAGGGTGAGGAACAGCCTGATACTGACCTCTTCCTCCAGGCCGTTCCTTTTTATATTACGCTGCTTGTTGAGGTGGTAGGGGTGAGCGGAAAGGGGGAAGGGATTGTGGGAGGGGAAAGAGGTGGTGGATTTGGTCGGTCTTCAATAACCGGGAGAATGGTCTTCCATATTTTATTTATGTTGTAGCCATTATCTCTATTTAAATTGTTAGGGTGTTTTTGTAACTCTATGGCTTCCCTATACTTTCTTGGAAAGTACTGTTGGCTATTATGGTCGTTTTGTCAAACAGTATTTGATGTCCCGTTTCGATATTGTGTTCTGATAATGCCGACTGCGGGGTGTGTTTTAGTATGACATCACGTTGGTGTTCTTTGATTCGTAGGTGGACCATTCTCCCGGTTTCTCCAATGTATACTTTCCCGCAGGAACAATTGTCTATACTCTTGCGGAACTGAATTTCGGAGGTCTTTGATTTTTAGGATTTCTTAAGATTTGTCCTATCTTTTTGGGTGGTTTGAAGATAGTTCGGATATTGTGTTTGTTTAATATCCTGCCAATCCGATCTATTGTTCCTTTGATGGGAGAATGGTTAGGATCCTTTCGTCTGATTGTGTGTCAGAGACCGTTGTCTAGTTTGCATGTTTATTAATTATTTTGGTTATGTCTTTTTTGTCGTGTCCGTTTTTCTGTAAGGCCAGTTTGAGGTGGTTGAGTTCTGTCTGTAGATGTTCTTTGTCAGAGATGGTGAAAGTTCTATGTACTAGTGAGTTGATTGCTGACTGTTTTTGTGCTGGGTGGTGGTGCGATTCGGCATGTAGATATCCATCTGTATGTGTTGGTTTTCTGTACACTTGATGGCCTAAGGTACCGTCAACTTTCTTAGAGACAAGAACATCTAGGAAAGGGAGTTTTCCATTTTCCTCTATGTCTATAGTGAAGTGGATATTTGGATGTTATTTATTGAGTAAAGTAAGGAATTTCGTAGTTTGGCTCTGCCGTGTCTCCATATCACGAATGTGTCTTCTACATAACGGAAACAAACTTCTGGCTTTTTGGCTTTTTCTGAGGGCCTCTTTCTTAAAATGCTCCATGAAGGTGTTGGCGATTACAGGAGAAATAGGAGAGCCCATCGCCGCTACTGAAGTTTGTTCATAAAATTGGTTCATAAAATTATGAGAGAAGTAAGTGGTTGTTAAGCAGTGCTCCATTAGCGGGATGAGGTCGGGAGGAACTTCATATTATGTTTAATGTGTCTTTTATTGGGAATTTGTGAAAAGGGATTCTACCTCGAAACTTACAAGCAGGTCTGTGGGAGGTAGTCGGATTTTTTAAATCTTTTGTATGAAGTCCGTTGAGTTGGTTATGTGTGATTCGGTTTATCCAGTGATGGGTTGTAGTGTTCGCGCTATGAAGCGGGATAATATGTATGTCGTGATGTATACGACACATACGTGGTATGGAGACACGGCAGAGCCGAACTACGAAAATTCCTTATCTTCCTCAACAACCAACATTCAAATATCCACTTCACTATAGACAATGTCCTTTATTGTGGGACACAAGAATAGAACAATATCGTCGAGTTGATTTAAAGCGAACGCACTGGGATCGAATAGCACAAGCTCTAGGTTCCAAATTTACAGGTATAATATATATAATTTATTTATTTAATCTTTTGAATTTATTATATTATTGCTTGAAATACGAAAATACAAATAATTAGGTATGTAACTTTGAAAAAATTAAGAGTGTGAACATACATTGCAAATAATTAGTTAATGAATGAAGTTATATTGAGTTGAGTTGTTGAGATGTTGAATTCTTGTGTTGATTAGTAAAAGTTATACTATTCAATTAATTTTTTTAAATTTATTTTTATTGCACGCGCAGGAGATATGGTTTGTAAACGGTTTCAAAATATGGAAAGTATTTTCCGTGCGAATGAAAGAAAGATAAGAGAATCAAAAGTTCGTTGTAGTGGAAAAGGAACAGATGAAATGTACAAACCAAAGTGGGAATATTACGATATGCTCTCATTTTTAAGAAGAACTTGTGCACAGAGTGACAGTATTGATAATCTTTCCTTAAAAAATCATATTTCTCTATCTAGTCAAAACGCTGTTAATCATTCACCTGTTCATGCTTATAACAATGTGCAAAATACGTCAAGGATTACAAATATATATTATGATGAAAATCTTCAAGTAAGTGTAAAGCTTTTATCTTTATATTATTCTGTTTAGATTCAAGTTTTCTATTACTTCCAATGGAAATTTTCTGTATCATTTATTTAAGAATTAATTTATGCTTAATATCATTAATATAAACAAGTTTTAGTATTATTTTTTTATAAATATTGTTCAATATATTTCAATTTTTTGTTTTTAGCAATACATGATTATTCCATCTAATTTATCTGATAACAATACAACAAGTATAAACAGTGATGAAATATCACCTTGTACAGATTCAGAATCACACACCTCAACAGAACTCATCCCAGATCCAACGTCAGTTGTAACATCTGCTACCCAATTGCCTACCACGTCTGATAGTCAAACCGAATTGGCAATAAATAATCAGATATTTCAACTCAAGTTACATCTCCCAGACTCATATTAAATACTGAAGCCGTATCAAATACTAAACGCTCTACTGAGAAATCATTGTACGTGAAACGGGGTACAAAAAAATCTAAAATGATGGAAGATGCTGTGAATGCCATAAAAAGTATAACCGAAGAAAATATACCTCCTCCAAATATGGACACATTTGACATGCTTGGTTCATACATTGCATCTAAGCTTCGATCGATGATCCCTAACGATCGAGAATATTATGAAAAAGAAATCTTAAAAGTATTGACTCTGCCAAAATCATAAATAGTAACTTATACCTTATTTACAATAAAAAGTTCCTTATTAATGCTAATTATACATTGCTATATCTATATTGAAATACTGCTTAGTACTGACATATATAAATATTTTAATTATATTTAAAAAATTGTTCAATTTTACAAATTTTTTTTAAATAGCAGTAATTTGTATTACTTTTAAGTTTGTACTTTGTTTTAATTTTTGTATTATGTTATACATTTTATTTGTTGCCAAAGAGAAGAGTATATACGTTAATTTTGAATTCTTATATTACATTTAACAGAGTGACTAAATTTTATTCGTTACCATACATTTAGAATAATGTGTGATTTTGTGTTCGTGATTACCTCAATCAGTAATGTATTCGTCCATTTATTTTTCGAAATGTTAAATATTTTTGAAAGCCCAAGTTTTTTTATTTTAATCTATTAGATTGTATTAGCAATAAAGATTTTTGGAAGACTGAACTAAGAAATAAATAAAATATAATGAATAAATGAGTTTTATTTTTCAAAGCAAAGCATTATTGTATTCAATAATTATAATTCATCGGATCATTCGTTCTTGCCAAGGAACTGCACCAATAGTATTAAAATAATTGCACCATCTGTCTCTAAGTGCGATTGCTTGATTTGGATGACGATTGCCACCTTGGTGAACTAAATTTATAATGTCTCTTGCATTTTCGGCTCTCCAATCCCCACGGTGAAATTCACCAAACATTTCATCTTCTCTATCAAGAAATGAAGGTGGTGTACCAGGTATGTAAATATGAAACCGGAATTTTTTAATTGAAAATACACGTTTATTGCATGAAAATGATACAAAATATTTTATTCGAAGTATTGCCCATCGCTAGCTATACAGTTTTCCCACCTGTCTGACAATTTGTGGATGCCACGCCAAAAAAATTGTTGCTCCTTTGAGCCAAACCAGTCATCTAGCCATTTTCGTACATCTTGGTAAGAAGTGAAGCTCTGCTGAGCAAGTGCGTGTCCCATCGATGCAAATAAGTAGTAATCGGAGCCAAGTCAGGTGAGTAAGCCGCATGCGAAAGTATTTCCCAACCAAACGCCTCAATCGTTTCCTTGACCAGTTTTGCTGCGTGTGATGGTGCATTATCATGAAGCAAAATTACTTTGTATTGCCTTCTTTGATATTCCAATCGTTTTTCACGCAAAGCTTGATTCAAATTGATCATTTGTTGTCGGTAGCGTTCAATATTAACTGTTTCGCCAGATTTTAGCAGCTCATAATAGATCACACCTTTCTGATCCCACCAAACACAGAGCATTGTCTTCCGTCCATAGCGATTTGACCTTGCGCAGTCGATGTCGATGGTTCGCCTGAAGTTACCCATGATTTTTTACGCTTAGGATTCTCAAAATATATCCACTTTTCATCGCCATTCACAATTCGATGGAGAAATGACTTTCTTTTGTACCTGGCGAGCAACATTTCGCAAGTGGTTTTTCGGTTTTCCTGCTGTCTTTCATTCAGTTCATGTGGAACCCATTTTCCCATCTTCTGGATCTTTCCCATGTATTTCAAACGTATGGAGACGGCTTCTCGTGTCACATTCAATTGATCCGCGAGTTGTTGTTGAGTTTGAGCGTCATCCTCATCCAACAATGCTTGCAATTCGCTGTCTTCAAACTTTTTCGGTGGTTTTCCACGTTCTTCGTTTCTCAGGTAAAAAACGTCACTTTTGAATTTTTTAAACCACTTAAAGCATTGTGATTTACCAAGAGCATGCTCACCGTAAGCTTCGACAAGCATTCGATGCGATTCTGCAGCAGTTTTCTTCAAATGGTATCAAAAAATCAACGCTGTCCGCAAATCGTAGTTTCCAGGCACAAAATTCGACATGTTCAACGCTATTACAAACTATACTGTTGTATGAAACTTGTATTGTTGTGAGTTGAAGATCTTTGTCAGATGTCAGAACAAGGAAATGGCGTCAATGACGCGGTCTGACGGCAACTACATTGACAGCTATGGCCATCTATTTGTAAATTCCGGTTTCATATTTACATACCTGGTATACATTGCTCGTCTAATAGATTGACTTCGTAGCATGTTATGCAAACAACATATATTTAAAATGATTTTACATGCATCATCCGGATCATATCTCATTGCGGATCGGAAAATTTGAAAACGAGCAGCCATCACACCAAAAGCATTTTCCGAACAACGCCGTGCTCTAGATAATCTATAACACACGAGCAAAGTAGTATTTCAATAGCATTGTTCGTTTTGTCTCTCGAGAGCTACTCGGAGTCGCTCCAAACGAACCTAGTATAGTTGGATGCGATCCATTTCAATGTGTTAATGCTTCGAAGCATTCTCCGATTGATTAATTCGCAAAATTCTTTCTTCTTGTTGATCAACGAAGTATTCACATCGTAAAATGGATCGCACCCAAGTACGCTGGGTTCGTTCGGAGCGACTCCGAGCAGCTCTCTAGAGACAAAGCAAACAATGCTAGTGTTATTATATAATTGGACAAAAAATTAAATTATTATAAATTATCCACGTACCTATAATTATATATCTTTTTGTGTATATTCCCATTACACTGAGGTCCTGGATAAGGAATTAAAAGTTTTTCCGATAATGGGAAACCTTCATCCCCAATAATCACATAGGGAAAATTGTCTTGTGTATCTGGCAATGGAGCAGGAGGAGGAATGTTTAGAGTGCCCCTATCTAAATAATTTTTTAGAGAACACTTATTCCAGACTCCAGAGTCACTAACTCTACCATTAGTCCCTACATCAACGTAAATAAAACGTAAATGTGCATCTACCATAGCCAATAGTACTACACTGTATTGTCCATTATAATTGTAAAACATAGATCCATTGTAGTAGAGGATCAATAACGCAATGTTTTCCATCCATTGCTTCAATTACATGATGGAAATTCCATCGTTCTCCAAAATCATGCCTAATCACACGCCATTCATCTTCAGTGTGGGGAAAGCTAAGAAACTCTTTTTTTAAAACAGTATATACTACTGTTGTTACTTCTTTTATAATTTTTGAAATGGTACTTCTACCAAGTCGGAACGTGAAAGCTAACGATTCTTGACTTTCTCCTTTGGAATGATACACAAAAAAGATTTAATTACAAAATACATAACCATTATCAATAGACTTTATTCTGTTTTTTTACCTGTTGCTAAATGTCGCAAAGTAACCGATAGCCTTTCATCAGGTGGAATACTTTCCCGTAAATGAGTATTTTGCTTTTTAATTAGGGGAGTAACTTTTTCCAAAAGAAATTCAAAAGTGTCTGTATCCATTCTGAGACACCTAAATAAAACACACACACACACACAAATATCTTAGAGATAAAAATTTTAAGTTACCGTTTTCAAGTGTAAATTATATTTTTTAATTTATAACCAACCTTCTGAACCGATTAGGGTCTTCCAATGCAAGTTCTAAAAAAAGATTTTTATGTAAACCTTTTTCTTTTCTTCTTGATACCCATTTAGAAACCCCCATTTTCTTGTCATACGATTCGTCTTCACTGTCTTCAGCCATAATTAAAAATAACAGATATGCACATAGTTTCTTTTTCTTTATGTTTCGATTATAATTATATTTTTGTATACTGAACATTGTCATACACAGCTAGAATGGCCAACTTTTGACCATATCAATTTCGGGACGCAACTTTTAAAACCGTTTTATCGAGAGAGAATGTACACAGCAAACGTCGACGACACGACATTTGCGATACAGCATATGTTGCAAATTGAATCCGTAGTCCGTACCATGGTCCGTAGTGTGAACGAAGAATCCAAATCCGACGATCCGCAATCCCAATCCGATCCGCGTTCGCAATCCGTAGTGTGACACGGGCATTAGAGCGGATGAAGCAAAAAGTGGCGGCGGATAACTTCCCCCACTCTTGCGCTTCATTAGTCCTCTCTGACAGATCTATATGGTCCGTCGCTATTAGTCCTCTTTGTCGCTCTATATAGTCGTCGCTATCACTCTTATATCGAACTTTCACACAATGCGCAGTGCCACTGCACATCATGTGAATACTGTGAATAGCCACGGACGTTTCATAAAACGGTTGCAAAACTACTGAGTCTGCTGAACGCAACCATTCTGTACTTGTCCGTTGACTCCTGACTCCTGGCTGCATAAAAACACAAACGTCACTAAAAGAAATTTAATATGTAAGTACGTGAATGTTGTTCAATAAGAGAATATGATTTTTCAAACATAACCTTAATTATATATAACCTCTAATTTGTGATTTTAGTAGCTCATTACAACAGAACAACATTAAAAAAATAGATAACATGGACATCGAAGAGGACGAAGAAAAACAAATTGAAACAAAAGTAGCTTATAAAAAAAAATATTTTGTTATACTTGGCTGGAGAAAGAAGAATTTAAGCAGTGGCTAGCTCCTGTGAGAGAAAATAAAAATTTATGCAAATGCACTTGCTGCAACAAAACTCTAACATGTGGAAAAACGAAACTGCAAAAACATGAAAAAAGTTTAATTCATCAAAGAAACTTGAAATTAATTAAGACAATCGGGAAAAATGAACCTACTTTTTGAAACAGCTACTAAAGAAGAAGCTAAGCGAATGGAAAAAGAAAAACGAATTAAAAACGCTGAAATAATTATTTCAAGTTTTATAGCAGACCATAACATAGCGTTCTCTACTGTAGATCATCTAGTACCAATGTTGAGAAATGCTCTTTCAGATTTCGAAATTTTAAAAGATATACAATTACATCGAAAAAAAAGCACGTCTGTCATCAAAAATGTTATAGCTACAGTTGAAACCGAAAATTTAATAAATATTTTAAAAACTGTAAGTTTAATTTTGAAGTATATTATTTTGAACATCAAATCATTATTTAATCAAATATAATTGAAATCATTATTTAATATTTCAGGAAAATTTTTCAATACTGATAGATGAAAGCACTGACATTTCTAACCAGAAAAACCTGTGTATTTTAGTGCAATATGTTCACCCGCAAAATCAACAGATCCAAGTGCAACTTCTGAAATTTTATTTATAGATGCAACTGATGGCTCATCTGAAAAAATATATCAGACTTTCAAAAATTATATAGAAGGAAAGGATATTCCCCTAAAAAATATTGTTGCTTTAGCTTGTGATGGGGCCTCAGTTATGGTTGGAAAACATAATTCTTTTTATACGCGATTGAAACGTGATGTGCCTCATGTTATTCTCTTGAAGTGTATTTGCCATTCAGCGGCTTTAGTTGCCAGTAAAGCATGTAGAAAACTACCAAACATTTTGGAAGATTTGTTGAAAAATATTTATTCATATGTGAGTGGAAGTTCAAAGCGCTGTCAACAATTAGAAGAGATGCAAACTTACTTTCTAGGAAAACATTATAAGATTTTGAAGCTTAGTGGCACAAAATGGTTAGCTACACATTAATGTATAAAAAGACTTTTATTAAACTGGGAGGTATTAATAATGTACTTTAATATGGCTGTGTTTGAAGACAATTTAAACTCTGCTCGAATTATTTTAGATTGTCTTCAAAGTAAAAAGATAAAATGTTACTTTCTTTTTCTAGAATTTGTACTGAATTATATGAATGAATTCAATGCTTTATTTCAAAGCAAAACTTCTTTAATAACTGTTCTAAAGAAAGAAAGCGTAAGGTTATTCCTAAAGATTTGTCAAAATTTTGTAAAACCATTTTTATTGAAAGAGCACTATTTAACCAGTAATATTTTGCATGACACAAATTATTTGCCAATTGATACAATTTTTGTTGGATATGAATGTGAGTCACTATTATCTACGTTAACACAGAATGATCGAAATAAAGTTCGCTCAAATATTTTATCATTTTATGTTACTATTGCTCAAGAAATGATTAACCGATTGCCTGTCAACAACGCATTGTTTTCTGAATTCGAATTTCTTATTCCGTCTGTTGCTTTAGAAACGCATAAAAGTGATATTCTGATCAATCTTGTGAATGTGTGTAAGGCGTATGAAAGTCTTGTTGATATTAATTCTATAAAATACGAATGGAGAAATTTGCCATTCCATTTTACTGCAGATGAAAAAGAAAAATTGATTAAGCTTCCTGCAATTGAATTTTGGCTTAAATTACAAAAAATGCAAGACTTCTCAGGTAATTATTTATTTTAAAATATTACAAAACTAGTACTTATTGTTTTAACGTTGCCACATTCAAATGCAGAAGCGGAACGCATATTTTCTGTAGTCGCTAACATAAAAACAAAAAAAAGAAAAAGATTGGAAATGATAGTATCAACCCAGTATGTATAATAAGATCAAAGTTCAGTGCTGAGAGCGTAAACTGCACTAATTTCAAGCCGAATCCAAAACATTTTCAAAAGTTTATCAAAGATATTTACAAATAAACTGTTACTTATATTTTATAATATATTATTACATTTAAAGAAATACATATACAAAAATATTTTGTTTAATTCTTATGAGATTTATGTTTTGTATATTGATTGATCTAATCAAATTTTTTTGTTGTATGTACATATATGGGGCATTCTCCGCGTGTCGGAGTCCCCTTCTGCCCATTTCATTTTTGGACAGAATTCAACCAACCAGGGCTTAAAATTTTCGTTGGAGTGTCTACTTTTTAATGGCGTGTGGCCTTTTGTGAAAATTCAAAATGGCGGACTGGTGCAGCGCCGAGAATGAAAAAAGTATTATATAAAAAATGAAGTATATATCTTTAAAAAAAATGCAGAAGTGATACTTCATTCGGATGATACTGTATACTGAGGAGTTTTCGAGGTTGCTGGTTCCGATTCTGGAGTCGAAATTGAGAAATTCAAAATGGCGGAATAGTTAAAAAATTCGAGTTCTGTTTTGAAATTTTCACTTACTTCATAATTGAAATGGGAATATGATATTTTTACAAAATTTTTTAATTGATGAGTTTGTGGAAATGTCCAACTAAGGAGGCCTAACTCGAAGCTTTGTGGTCGGCCGCAGCGTTTCGTCCTGGTCCCACACTACTAGACTCATCAGTAAAGCCTGCGGCACACGATGCTTGTTTTCCTGCTGGATTGCTAGCTGAATTAGAATCTTACCATCGTATTGGCTGTGATACTGGGCACTGACAGCATCGCAGCCAATACGGTACGTCAGTGAGCGGCTCTTGTTTCTCGTAAGCAAAGTAGGACGCGGCGAATTTAAAGGCTCAACAATTCATGCAAAATCGTATAGCTTGATTTCTCACTTGATTTTTCCCTTTAGTTTTTGTCTTCATTTTTCGCCTTGATATTTTATCTGTCAATTTTTCAATTAGAAATTTCCAAACAGAATTCGTGAATGTAGATTATCTATTTCCCAACTGACTAGATATATTTTACAATGCCTTCCAGTAGTCGAGTAGACAGATGCGCAAATCCGTTTTCTGTACCGGGGGAAAAAGGTCATATCGGCAAAGATTTACGCCGTATATCAAAAGCAATCACCAGCAACCTCGAAAACTCATCAGTATACAGTATCATCCGAATGAAGTGTCAATTCTGCGTTTTTTTTAAAGATATATACTTCATTTTTTATACTTTTTTCATTCTCGGCGCTGCACCTGTCCGCCATTTTGAATTTTCACAAAAGGCCACACGCCATTAAAAAGTAGACACTCCAACGAAAATTTTAAGCCCTGGTTGGTTGAATTCTGTCAAAAAATGAAATGGGCGCAGAAGAGGACTCCGACACGCGGAGAATGCCCCATTATATATATGTACCTGTATTTGTTTATGATCTGAAATGCATAATTAGTAAAGAAATATGTATCCAAGAATATGTTGTAAAAAATGCGATGATTGCAA